TAGTGTACGAATTTTAGTGGAACAGGTAGATGTGCAATTATTAGACTAGTAGAGGGCTTTATTTATTGACTAACATGGACATTTCTGAATGTACTCTAATCGGGAACTGTTCATCGTTGTCCATTTCCTGTTCGATTAAAAGTTTGTCGAGTTCTCGCTACCGCTTTTTTCCAGTTCCTTTTGATAGCGTGGTTTGGCCCTCATAGCGGCCATAGTACAATCCACACGTGCGCTCATCTTTATATATTTTCGGTATTTTTTCCTGTTGAGACCGTGATCCATATTCATACCTCTATAGCATATACAATAGTTAGCGTACGGTGGTTTGAACAGGCAAGTACAGTGCAGAAATACATTCATGCTCTGTATGTGTCGTTTCCCTTCTGCATATCGACTTCACCAGCGTCCACCATATTGGATTTGCATGTAAAAATGCATGGGAAACACACACCACATCAAAATGAATTATGTATCACATAAGTTTCAAACGAATGAACTGATTGTATGTATCGTAGACTTGTGAATGTATAAATTTATGTACATCATGTAAATACAGACACACATCATAAGTACAGCTGTTTTAGGGTTTTAGGGTTTAGATCGATAACCACCTCACCGGCTCACAGAGACACAGTAAACAATGTAAATGCCTTATTTGGGCATAGACCTTTTTCGCGGGTTTCGAGGATCGAGTCCGTATCTGTTCGGTACTGTATTCCACACGCCCCTGATTTTCGGCGGGAAGTATTTATTAGTGAGAGACACTGAGACTGTGAGTTGACTCTGCGACGTTTGCGTCTGAGATCATTGATCCTAAAGTATAGTCTATAGCGGTGTGTGATGTGACTGTAGCTCAATAGATATTTATTTACATGTATTTAAATATATCTACAATATATGTAGTACATTGCACAATATACGTATGTATATATAGTCATTCAGTTAAGATTGTTTATATCGTAGACAGGGAAGACTCTAGAGAGCGGAGTCGGTGGCTGTCAGAGTGCTGATTGACATTGCTCTACTTGAATATAGTAACAATCAAGTAGATAATGTTTTAGTTAGTTACAGTGCTTGCACTATATGTACCTTCGATTGAAGGAATCCTTTGGACCTAGCTGAACATCAAGTAATCCATTATACTGGTATCTTCAGCCGACCGAACTTTAAGCGACAGTCGAACCTATGTAATCCGGTATTGTTTTTTTTTCCTGTTTTTTTTGTGCACCTGCATTAGCGTCCTTAGGTTGTGACGCACTATGTGATAGTCTGGACATGAAGTATGTTTGTAGACGCGAGAAGGACACGCAGAACTCTATGCCGAAGTAAGAGTGTGCAGTAATCCATCAGTGCACGCATAGATGGGTAGTCATATCCCCATATGATCGTAGCATGGTGGTGTACTGTGGCATGTACTCTCGATGTCCTTATTGTATATTGTACTTATATCCATGAAGCATGTAGGGTAGTGTACACCTGGTCACATACATTAGGATTGGTTAGGGTATGTGTGTGTGTATAAGCAGTCACATACATTAGGATTGGATAGGGTATTTGTGTGTTTTTAAGCAGTCACATACACCTACACCTACACCTACAAAGACGCATACATATATACAATCGCACGATCGGAAATTCACACGCACGCGCGTGTGAACTGAAAACAATAGTACACATAAACACAAATATGCAGGCATATATTTATGCATATATCCACACATACATACACGATTCCATATATGTACACACACATAAAGTAAAGTAAATGCACATAATTGAGCAGACATACACGGAGACATACACATATACAAGCAATTACACATCTACAAACAATTTTGTTTCTATGGAGTACACACACACAG